ATAGCTAATTCTCTTGCAGATTGTCTCATTTGATTATGAATGTAACGTTTATATAGGGGAACTACACTGTTAGCAGTAACTTGGTATGCACGTATTTCATGTTAGCTTAGCTTCTTAGCCTGAGCTAGCTTTATTTACTTCCAGTTTGGAGGCAGCAGGTCCCGCCTCGGCTCCGCCTCTTTGCCCTTATTTGGAGCAGGCGGGATTAGACTCTGACGTCGCTGTCAAGCCGTTAGTGGCCGACTCCGCCTACTAAGGGCTTCTCGGCAACTCTGCAGAATCCTATGGGTGACGTCACGGACACTACGTCCATTTATATATAGAGTCTATGGTAAACATGCACCGACCATATTACCTCCAAAACAGTCGGGCATTGTTTCCGATAACAACGTTTCTGATAGGGCCGTGGGTGTAAAGCCAGCCTACATTTCCGATATTACGTCATATCGGACGCAAATCTGGATCAGCTCCGTTGTAGCCCGTCTTTAGAGATTTGGGTAGAGAGAGGGTTTTATTTTCTGACGCTGCGTGAGTTCCCCGATACACCGGGGACACATATTTATGTATAAAAGACATAAAAAAGTGCATTTTGCATGATAGGTCCCCTTTATATAACAACATCACTTTCTTCCGTAGTGTTGTCAAATTGGGACTTCTCTACCCCTTTAGCTTCTACTAAGTCTCGCACTGCATGTTTTATTCTTACACACTTCCTGTGCGAAATCCAGACAAGGTAACATAAAACAATTTGCTCCCAAAACATAACACAAAACTCCTAGAAGTCCAGTAACATTTATGCCATCTTGATTTGTAATCTTAGCAGCAGATATGACTGAGTCAGAGAAAAGCAGACTGCTGAAAAGTATCATTATGGTGATATGACGATGAATAGAATCAATGAATGAATGAAGAACAGATTCAAAGCCTTACTATTGTTTCTTTTTGAAAACAACAACCCCATTAACAGTTAAATTAAGTAAGTACGTTTTCTGATTTTAAAGTGTCTCCTACAGTTGGAGGAGAGAGAGCAGGTGCTACAAGAACTGCAGGACGAGCTGAAGGAGGAGAGGAAAAGCCGAGAGGAGGAGAAACTCCAAGAAATGCAGCACTCCCAACAGCAGGAGGCGCTACAGCTGAGCCGAGCTGAAGCTGAACTACAGCTGCTGACGAAGAGGAACGCTGAACTTCAAGAAGAGGTGTGTGTGAGGCCCAGTTCCATCCCTAATAACCAGGACGTTATTAAACCCTCCAACAGGGAGATATTAAACTCTCCAAAATAAGTTATTAAACCCTCCAACAGGAAGTTAATGAATCCCTCCACAGGAAGTTATTAAACCCTAAAACAGGAAGTTATAAAACCCTCCACAGGAAGTTATTAAACCCTAAAACAGGAAGTTATTAAACCCTTCAACAGGAAGTTAATTAATCCTCTAACAGGAAGATATGAAGTCCTTCAACAGGAAGTTATTAAACCAGCGAGTTATCAACAGCATCAGCGCTTATTAACTTAGGACCCGCTTATTATAGCTTCTCCACCTGAAGTGCAACCATGTTTGTGGCCCTCATTAAACACGATGTCTTCAAATAATTCCTTACAAACATTCACTCGTGAACTTCGCAAAATAAGACAAACATTTAATAACGTGCTACTGATGTTTACAACTTAAAGGTTACATTGTATTTGATTTGAATTACGATCATATAACTGCATCTAGTCTAGAGAACTGTAAAGGTGTGCATTTGATCGTAGAGTTTTGTATATTTACAGAAACAAAAACCAAGCAGCTCATAAATGTCAGATCTGAAAACGAAAAGGGGTGACGTTAAACTGACCTTAGCAACGGTCTGTTCTCCTTAGCAACGGTCTTTTAGCAAAGATGATCAGCCTCTGGAATGTCCAAATTGACCAATCAGAATCGAGTATTCAACTGAACCGTTGTCTGAGAGATCCTTATTCTCCCCGGTTATGAAAAATTACAATACTTCCTGTTTCCAACAGAGAGGGGGGAGTCCGTCCCAAAGCTTGCTACTGTATTTACACCCTCCACCTCAAAGATAGCAACCTCCTTCAGCTGTTAGTGTGAGTTTGTAACATGGAGTTCACTCTGTCACTGAGTGCCGGGTACGGGTGGGTTTGGATTGGGCCTAAATCAGTGTCTCTGTACATATGAGAACAAAGACAGATTTGTGTTGAAATGTATTCCATTGGTGTGTTGCTGTGCCAATGCGTCTCAAACAGAGCTTGATTAAATGTAGTGAGAGTGTGTGTGGTTGTGAGAGTGTGGTCGCAGCGAGAGGGATTGAGTGATAGAGTTGAAATGGGGGAGAGATAGAGAGTGACAGAGTTAATATTTGCTTTGGCAGCTGAGTGTGCAGTGATGGATGTCTGTGCCAGCAGCATCCAAATGGAACTGAAATAAATTGTGAAACAAAAAAGTGAAAAGAGCGAGGCAGCAAATAGGAGGAAGACGGGTGAGACGGCTGAAGGAAGGATGGAAAAGAGAGTGTGTGGGTGAATGAAAGAGAGTGGAAAAAGCTAATTATGAACAAAGAGGGGACAGGAAGGAGAGCATCCTAAAATGACTTTGCTAGGCTTTTTCTGTGTGTTTGTACCCCAGTCTTTGTGTGTTAACACATGAGGGCCTGTCTCAGCTGTTTGACCACTAACACACAGATACACACACAGAAACACACACTATCTGAAAGCAACTCCTAATTAACTGTATCCTGCCTCTTTACTTCACACTAAGGGAACACCCAAACCCTCTCACACTACACATAGAAATGTAATCCGTTGTTGATTTAATAAGCTTGAAAAGGGATGCATTTGTATTTTTCTCCTTTAAGTTTTTGTTAGTTTTCAATGTCAAGATAAAGTACTTATCACTATCCTCAACTTCTAAAGGAAACCAAAAAGGTTGTGCTGTACCATGCAGTAGAAAAACGACCTCCTGGTCTCCCACTGTCTATTGAACGCCTCCCTCTGCCTGTCCACATACTGTAGAGTTCAGCAGGTTCAAGGTGACCTGGTGCCAATTTCACAGCTGACATGTTCTTTCATGTCATTCATAGGCCTTCAGTACAGCAGCTCCCCCCCCCC